GGTACCCTAGTCAACAATAAAACTAGATACTTCAACACAAAGATCACCATTCACCACTACAATCGTATCAAATCTATAAATTCATAATATGACACAGAAACCGGTTATCAAACAATACCATTCACACAATTATAATTTGAAACAAAGAACCACAAATTCTCAGTTCATCTATCTTGGTAACAACTCCAATTTTTCTTCAATCCCCCATAACCTATTTCAATTCCAATGCATCCATTCAAGACAACCCTACAGAGTAAAAGAGCCTATCAAAATCTAAACAAAACCCAATTCTCAAAATCATTCACAATCAAACTCAATTAAAGCACAAAAAATTTGCATTCAATTTTCAACCATTATCAGATAAAACCAAACTCCAAATTGACCCAATAACAAGACTTTAGAAACCCAAATTCCTCAAAACCCAGAAAAATAAACCAAAAACAGAAAGAAAAGCAGTCGTTTTCCCGCATTTTCTGGGCAGACAAAACAAGGGCGCAAAGGAAAATGAGAAATTTGGACTTACGAGATGTTCATCTGGCGAAAGAGAAGGCCGAGAATGGCAAGCGAACAGAGGAGGACGATGAGGACATCGGAGACAAGAGAGACGAGGCTGGAGTTGCGATGCGCACAGTGGTAATAGACTAAGCTACCGCAAATCAACACTATCACCGGCTTCCCTACTTCTGATCGATAATCCATTTCTTTGATATCTTCATGCTCATTGAGGTTTCTATTGTCCTCTTGTTTTTGAATCTCCTCTTTAATTTTTTTTTTCCTTTTTTTAAAATTCTCTGTGGTCAAAATTTTGACTCTACCAAATTAATTGTTCTTTTAATTTTGGAGTTAGACCAAATGACTTTCTTTTTACCAATTAACATTTTTCACTGCTTATTTAAGTTTAAGTTTAGGGAGCTGATTTTCAAACTCCTCTTTTGTCCACTAAAACACTTCGTGCATGTTTACGTATCAGTAATGGGTATGAGAGGAAAGGGAATGATTTTCATTCTTGACTTCCCCTGCGTTTACTTGTAATCAGGAATGAAAACATAAGTGGGCCCCACCTCAAAATCTTTAATCACATTATCTCAAAACTAGGTATCATATCAACTAAGGGGAGTAGTGGATACGATTCTCATTCCTATTTTCTCTTAATAACTTCCAAAAATACCCTTTCCACTTTACCATAATTCTAAAATTAATTTGGATTCTGATTCATGCAAATTAGTAAACAATAACAATGGGAATCAATCCCATTCCTTAGCTAATTCCGTATGTTTAGTAAACAACTTAATGAGAATAATTATTCTCATACCAATTCAGTAGTTCCCCGATTCCTAAATTCTCTGATTCCTTACTTTCTGCATTACTGATACATAAACATGTCCTCCATTTGTTAAAAATTGTATGTTTTCACTCATCTTTTGTCCGCTTACACTCTTTTTTTTATTATATTAAAAACTATTAAAAACCAAAATGGAGTGTAAATGGACAAAAAGAGTGAAAATCACTACCCTAAGTTTATCCAGAAATTAATGAAAAAGGACCCTTAAATTGATTCACAATTTTTTTTACAACCCTTATTTACATGTTTATGATCTTTGATGTCATTTATGGTAGTTTTCAATTAAAAACCTCATCACTGAAAACATGATTTGCATTTTGGAGAGCCCTTTGTTTGACTTGGGCCTCTGGACTTTATTTGTATCCCCAAAAAGAAAACCACAATTTGTAAGGTTTTTTTTCTTTTCTTTGTCGTCAAATGTGGAGGCTTTTCTTTTGACCATTGACAAAGTCTTGCTTCTACAACACTTGAGAAATTTCACATGACATACCATTCTACAACACTTGAGAAATTTCACATGACATACCATAACTTTTTACATCATATTACAAATCAATGCAATTTTTCTGTCGTTCCAAATTCACACACTACGAAATAGGCCCTACGCAGTACACGTAGGCCGGCCAGACATGAATACTTATTTCTTACATTGCTTTACATGGATGTATTATATCTGACTGTACATGTACAATTTGAAAATACACAATACATTTACATACTTGGAAATATCAAACAAGCTTCTAGCATCTGTCTTTTGGCTCTTCTTCTTGCAAAGAGGACATGGTAGCTGATCTTGAGTTCTCTTACTTGCATATAGTTTCTAGAGTTTTTAATAAATCACCAGAAATGTAACCTTCTCTCAAGAATAGCACTCTTTATAGAACTTTTAAATGATGGAAAAAGAAAGGAGACGTAAGACCTTCAGTCTGGTGCGTAGGCCCGATGTTTCCTACTCTTTAATTCTATAGAAGGTGATATTCCTGAAACGAATATGTATATATTTTGCTGGTTTTGTTAAAAACACCAGTTTCTAATGTAATGCTTCTGCCTTCTGCAACTGTCAAGAACAACCCTTGGGGCCAAATGGATTAAACCCTATGCCCCCTCAGCTTCTGAGGTTTGGCCATCTGCATTAAAAATCAGTATCCAAATAGAATAATTAAAACAAAGAAACAAAGCAATTCTTTAAGCCTGTATAACAGTTGCACAGCCCGAGAGCACGTTCAGGTTAGATAATGACAGATTAAGAAGCCACATAAAAGACAACCAGCCTTCTATTAGATGCAGATAAAGTGGAAAGTGCTCATAACTATGTGCACAAATTGAAAATGGAAAACAGACGCACCTTCACCAGATAGCTGTTCAAACCGAACAACTATGTGTTTCCCGTATGTATATTTTTTCAGAGCATCTATATGAACTCTTATAAGATTGAGCAGTGTTTCCCGCTGTCTATCATTGCTTGTTTCAAGAACCTTCTGAACCACATAATTGGCAAATTGGTCCTTCATCATTGGCTGGAATATAAAATCAAATAACATAACTCAGTAAGCAGAAAACAACCTTTAACCAGCATTCAAAATCAACACTTCCAAAGAAATTATTTGGACTCTACAACGCTCCTCGTGTTATTTAAATAGGAAAGTTTTTTGAAAATTGTTTGGAACCAAAGGAAATCCACCCATATGGAAATGAAGTCTTCAGTTCAACTTGTAATATCAAATTGTATAACTGGATGTTTCCTAATTGGCTCATATTTCACATTATATATTATGCTGCCTTGGAGCCAAATGCTGGTCAATACCTACCAACTTTATTTTCATAGGTAAAGAATAAAAGATCTGAATATATGGGATAACATATCATATGCGCTTTGGCTTGACTTACCAACAGACTATCATTTTCCTCCATTTGCCCAATGATTTCCTCAATCAAGAGCTCCCGCTCAGCAACATCACCATGTTCCAGACACTTTTCAACAACATTTGATGCATATTTATGCTGACTCAATTGTACAATTTTCCCAATCAACTTGCTGATAATTTGGCTTCTTTCATAGGGCTTTCCCCTTTCCAAAACATGCTGCAAGCAGTATGATCCATAATTATATTTCATTCAATTAGAAATAACAGAGACTTGGGCAATGAAATCACACATGAAGAAGCAATTTATAAATATATATATTGACCCGCCTAAACCCTCAGTCATAATGCTAATGATACCAGGCCAGATGATTTCTTTAAAAGCTTGACACTACCATTAAACCATTTCAGGTATCTGAAAGAAAGTCATATTTATGTAGCAGCTCACAAGTTAGTTCAGATTAAAAGAACCACTTTGATTGTATCAAGAATTTTACCATTGAGCAACATTTCCAAAACTCTAGAACACTCTGGTCATTTTCCAAGTGCTAAGAGAACATAAAGAAAATTAAGAATAACATTGAACTAGAAACACAATCAAATTAGGGTTACGGTATTAGCGGACAAAGAAACAATCCCTTCAAGCACCCCTCCGTTAGCAAACAACAGAATTGAGGAATGAAATAGTTAAGTGAGGCTAGATAAAAACAACAGAGAGCACAAAGTAAAGACACCAACCTGGGTAACATAATTCCCATACTGGTCTTGAGCAAGAGCGTAAGTAGATTCTAAGATTTCATCAACTATAGATTGACTTTGAATGTCATCTGAACAATGCTCCAAAACTCTCTATCAAGTAAAAGTGTATTGTTTCAAAATGCGATACACATAATCTAATTGGAGACTTCACAATGGAAAACTGTGTGCCATTACCTGTATGACGCGACAACCATAGGGATGAGTAGAAAGTGTGGAAACTTGGCCTCGAAAAGCAGAAATGATAAATCCAATTTTCTCTGTGGGAATGCATTCTATACACTTCTGTATTACATGATTTCCATTTTGATCACGTACACATTTCAGAACATGTCCATCAAGCTCATGCACAAGTTGTGTTTTCTGGTCAAGCTCAATAACTTCAAGAGCCTAAAATAAAGCATCCAACACAGAATCCAGATATGTAAAACATAAGGACAAGTTTTTAAGATTCATAAATTCTAAAGAAGTTATGAGGGAAGAAACATGTGTAACAAGGCTTCCAGATTTACATCCTCAGTATATACTTAAGAAAAATGTTGATGAAGCCAATTTGCAAGCCCTAAAAAAGTATATCATTGACAATAATGATGATTTTGATCCTTTAGCAGGTGTAATTGCCTAATAATCAATAATCAGACTACATATGAATAACCATGAAATATTTTCAAAGTTCACATGAATTTGATCCAACCACTAGCATACACAACTTTATGATGCTCAGGTCGGGTGTACTATAATGTAGTTTATATATCTAATCACGATGAAACTCAATGCAAGAGATTAAGTCAAAGATACTTCAAAAATCAGACAAAGCTTTAATTAATTAATTCCAACAATGGTTCCTGTAGTTAAAGGTGTTTGAGTGCAACAGAACCATTGTTTAAATTTGCATCACCTCAAGGGCATATATGTGAATTAAATTGATCGGAAAGGATAAAAGATAATCTCTCCATATTCTCTTCATCAGCTGATCAATGTGTCATTTTTAAGAGAGGATTTTTATATGCATCCCTGGGAAAAAATAAAAAATAAAAAAATATTTGTCCTATTGACATGTAATGTAACAACTATGAAAGTCTCAATAAGTTCCATTCTTCGCTCTGAGATAAAATGAACTCATAAAATATACATAAGCAGAAGATAGAATGATTGCTGGAATTAAGACAACATATTTATTATGAAAATCAAATTTCAGCATACCTTTTGGATTACACGACAACCATACATCTGCAAACTTAAAGGCAACATTTGTCCAGCAAGTTGATCTGCAAGCTCCTTTTTCTCCTCGGCACTCCCATATTCAAAAAACTGTAACAGAAAAAATAACTGTACAATGTTAATAGGCCATCCTCAGAGTTCACAAGTCCATAAAGTTGATAAGTGATCCAACAAAGAAGCAATTAGGCAGACACAAATTATGAATTCATACCTTCTGAATAACATAATTCCCAAATACATCCGTCATTAGTTTTGAAGCACGTGGAAGAATTTCTTTGAAAACTGATGCCTTGTCTTCGGCAGTGCAGTATTCTAGCTTCTGCTGAATAAATCTACTCCCATGTTGATCAACACTGAAGTTGTATACAAACATAAAAAAAATTATAACTAATAGTACAACCAGAATAAAGGAACAACAAACTTAGTATGGAGCAAACAATACCTGAACTCAACAATGCGCCCTGCTATATCAGAAAGTTCAAACTTACGGGGATTACTAGTTTTCAGTTCTTCGAGAAAAGAATGTCTTTTAGGGTCATCCGAGCTGAAGCTTCTCGGCCCTTGCCATCCAGAATATACTCCACTAATCGAACCTTGAGGAAACCTGATTTCATTTTTCCGACCAAGATGATTTGTTCTACCCATTGGAGATGATGGCAATATTGGACTACCAAGAGGCGAGGCTGGAAACTGTGTCATTATAGGCATGGTAGAATTATTTCCATAGTAACCACTACCATTGATTCCCACTTTTCTTGGACTTGGAATGCCCAGATTACCAATACTTGAAGACTGAAAATTTTGGTCACCCGTATAAGCAGTACTATATAGTTCTTGCTGTGAAAGCTGGCCACCAATACCCCTTGATGCCAAGTGACCATATTGACTTGAGGCACCATATGCATCCTCCAAAGGGCGTGGATAGTATTGCATATTTAGGGGATCCAAAAAAGGTGGCTGGAGCATTGGCCCATGTTGCCCATAAAATCTACTTGGGTGTTGCATATCACCTCCATGGGGAATTCTCTCCCCTCTTGAAACATCAGCAGTTCGACCATTAAAGCTTGGCCCCGAAGTAGCATCAAAAGGCATAGGAAAGGAACCATGGGAAGCATACCCAGGCATATATGAAGGAAGAAATGTAGAACCTAAAGCATATCCACCGGCGCCATATTGTGCAGGAAATATACCAGATGGCTGATAATTCGGGTAGAATGGATTTCCTGAAGTCATATATGCTGCTGTTGTAGCGTACAAGGGAGGTGTGAATCCAGGTGAGTGCAATGAGGGTTGTATATCAATAGAAGAGAACTTTGGATAGCCATGGGGAAGATTTTCCATTCCACTTTGCAAATGATTCATTCCTTGTGAAACTAATTGAGTCTGAACCCCCTGACGTTGATATGGAACACTTTGTTGCGTAGAAAACTGGTCTTGTGGCACATACCTCCCATAAGATTGTTTCTCATTTTGCTTGTTGATATCAACATTAGATGCTCTCACCCTGGAAAGATCCAACCCAAGCTCACCGCTAATTGATGCATTATTCCCCAACCCATCATCATGCTCAATATTAGATTCATCTTGCTGTAGGTTCCCTGTAGCATCACGATGTTGAATACTTGGGGAGGTGGTAGCCAAAGGAACATCATTTGGTATGTACCCTACAGCATGCGCATCCAGGGAACTTGTATCTGAACAATCATTTGTAGACCCTGAATTTGGTTCTGGTAATTTTGACTTGTTGAGAGAAGAAGCATTTGGTGAAATCGAATGTACATCAGTATCAGTTTGTTCATCTGTTGTTCCAAGACTGGATGGGAGAGATTGATTATATACAGGAGATGGAGTTCGGGGGAAGTCTTGCTAAAAAACCACCAAGAAAATGAAAAACGTGAGCCATGGCAACACATACTGGAAAACTAGAGCTACTACATTAAGAAAAAATCTTGTAAACCACTTATTGGCCAAAGGAGCTAATAATAAACAACTACCACATAACAATTCTGAACTATATGATTACTCATGATTCCAAATCTAGTACACACTACAAAGTATAAACTGATAAATGATTTTATGCACAACTTATCTTCAACAACAAAAAAGGGAGGGTGTGTTAGAAGGGAAATATGGTAATACTTCTAAATGCATGAAGCAAAAACTAAAAACAAGAGAGTTAAACATTGTTAAGCACAGCTAAGCCAAATTATTGTTGATTAAAATTTTAGATGCTAAACCACTAACTTTAATTCCTATACCTGTATGAGATCCACTAAACTCTTATTATAACTTGCCAAAGAAGCCGTGTTCTTGACAGGCATTACTGCACCACTATTTTCTGCCAGGTTATCTTTAGATATTGTGGCTGACCTAGCATCAGTAGGGTCCTCCTTATGAGTGGGAAGAGAACCTTGAGAAAGATGCAAGGATCCATTGCTGCTGTCATCTAAAGAAGGCAATTTCCTATTGGTGCCTAAGCCCCCAATTTGACGGACCATGTGATGATTCTCCCGTAAGATAAGTGGTGGAGGAAGACTTGCATTCAAGTTCATATTCGATAAATAATATGCCAAATAAGCTGGGTCTGAACGCAGATGTTCCTCAAACTCAACATTATTAACTATGCTGCTTAAATTAGTCGAGCTTGTTCCCATACTGGAGTTATGTTGACTTAACAGGTTTTCAATAGAGGAAAAGGAACCTTCCATACTTGGTGGAGCACTACCACTTCGATTAGGTATATCTTCAGCTCTATCTCTCCGAAAACTTCGCCCCTTCGAAATGCAGCTCGAATCCTCTGCTGCCATACTTATCAATGGAGATCCAAATGTTGCAGCATCCTTAGATGAAGGCCACTTTTTGCCTCTGCTGCTTTCCACCATTCTCGTGAGGCCCTCCGTGGCCATCCTAACCGAACAATGATGGTTTTTATTTATCAACAATTACCTTCACAAATTATTTGGCAGCATATCCAAGCCATATTAAGCTCCTTTCAACAGTACACAGTTGCAAGTAATAATTTGATCCAAGCAGGTAGCACACTCACAGAACCTGAATAATGTACCCGTAACAAGAAGGCCCTGCATATAGAACATAATTCGTACGAATTAACCACATCATGTCCCTTATGTATTCATGTTCATATAGAGAGATTGAAAATGAAAAATATGTTGAGAAATCTGAGCCGAAAAAAATAAATAGTTCCACATTGTTAACTTCAGCACAGACCACGTTGACAAACCCACAACAAATTCAGAAATAACTGTCTGAGTCTCTCATGAAAAAACTATCACATATCTAGTACGCAGACAGTAACCAATCTATCAAATAGAAAAGGAGAGCTAAGAGTATTGAAACATAGGTAAATCCTTTCACATTCTCCTTTACAAATTGTAAGAATCCCATTGCAGCCGATAAATGAACTTCCACCCACTACAACACTTAATTGCCTACGTGTTGACCAGAATATCAGTTTAGGTGTATAAAACTACATGAGAAACTTGGTTATTTATGGTTTCCTTAAAAAATTAGCCCTTTAACACTTATTTAATTTTGTTTTGGGCCATACATCACGCTACAAACTTTTTCTCATCCACAACGTAGGTCCTAATAATGAGTCACTGTACCAAAGTATACATGTACTGGAAAATTTACTTAGTATCTCAATTAGCATTGATGTTCTACTCATGCAATCTTGTGGGAATGACGATAAATACAAAAATTACTCATGTAAGAATAATGTTATCTGCAGAACCATTTCTGACGCTGATACCTATTACTTATATGGAAAATATAGTTCTGATTCAGATACATTAAACTGCCTCTCACTTAAATGCTCTCTACTGCGTATAGTTCTTATATTGTGTTTGAATTGACCTATTGCCATATGTGAACCATAGTTACTACCAAATTACATTTGATTGTGTATAACTGCTGTAGCTGTTCATATAGCTTCTACTGTCTCCCATGCATTTGCTTTACACTCTAATACAGTACACCACTAGTGTTTTAGCTTCCCAACCTTAAAGGATGGTCAATTCATGAAATGAAACTACCCTTAAACGCATTTCTTTCTAAAATCAATTCATATGCCACAATTACAACAAAGTAACCTTACGATCACAACCACTTAAACAAAACTTGTAACAGTCATTTCGAAAGCAAAATTCAAAAAAATAAACAAAACCCACTAAGCCTATACTCATTTACACCCTCTATAAATAGAATTTGAAGAATATTCCCAGTACAAACAATCCCAAAAGACAAATGATAATAAATAGCAGAAATAAGTTCACAAAACAAAAGTATAAGCCAAAAAGAAAGCATAAACTTGCACATGTTTGAACAACAGGAAGGGTATTAGAACCATCAGAAACAAGCAGAGCATGAGAATTTTGAGAACTAATGCTAAGAATTTGAGCAGAAAAGGATTGAAAGTCTCACCAGGTAATGGCAGCACTTCTTCAAAGTCTGAAATTTTGGATGAACAGAACACAAAGCTCAAGCCTTTTTAAAGCTCTGAAAGATACGTGGAATTACTGAGAAGGGGAGCTTAAGAGAGAGAAAGTCTTACAAAGAAAGTGCTTGAGACTTGAGAAACAGAGAGCTTCTTTGTTTGAGAAATACAAGAATGTTGCTTGCATAACATTCTCATTTCTCAGGGTTTGAAGCTTTTAATATTAAAATGCTTTTGACAGTTTAAATAAGTAGAGTTTTATTCTGGAAATATATGTACAGTAAATGACATAAATGCCATCGATGCTTAGCCTTAATCTGGTATTTTGGATGCTGTGTGTATGGATAATTATGTCCATAGATGGGGACACGTGGGACTTCAAGGTTTGCCCCAAATAAAGTTCTCAAACACGTGGCTTCCTGGCTATTGTTGACATTAGTTAGGTCTTCCAAAACGTGAGGCAGTGTTTGGATGTATTTGTATATGTCAAGGAATGGAATTTACTTGAATTTGGGTTCAAGCCTCTTGGGAAGTTCAACACCATTTCTTTGCACTTTCTTCAAGCTTGACTTCCAGTACGAATTGAAGCAACAATTGTATTGGTTTTCCATGCCTATGTGGCTAATAAATGAAGTAGTTCAAAACTCAAGTTCTATTTTGAAATACTACTAAAATTTAATGATGTAAATAATCTTGTAAATTTGGAGCGAGCAGTTCTGCCCCGAGTAATAAAGAATTTCAAACCCGCTGACACGATAAGAGTTCAAACTCTCGACATTTTCTTTGTTTGAATACAAATCTCACGTAATAAAGAATTTCATATTCACATTCATGATGAGTTCGACTCTCGACTTTTTCCTTTTTGAATAATAAAGGGTATAGAGTTGGTTCAAGGAGAGTTGATATGAAAGTCATAGAAAATTCACTTGTGAAAAGGAGGCAGTAGGTGACTTAATTGTCACGAACTTACAATCACAAAATTCATGAGTATTTTTGTATTGGCAAACTCCAAACACTCCATGAAGTTTGTCATAGAGTGGTTGTCGTTTGAAGGCCTACTTGGCCGTTTAGAGGACAATCCACTTGGTTACTTGAGGAGCCAAAACGTCACCGTCCAATACATCCCCACTATTTATTGCCTTTCTATTGGTTAGTGATACACTTGCTATTGAAATGTTATAACTTGGTGACGAGATTACCCCCTTAAGATGGATAATACCATTGGAATTTACTCGCTCAGCCGACCATTCGCGCGGGGTAGTCTTGGGTTTTAACTCATTCATCAACTGCTGACGTCACAAAATGGGGGGCCTGATAGTACCATTCATAAATTTTAGTCAACTGCCTATATTATAAGAAATTACATCCCTACCCCCTAAGAACACATGATATGTGTCCAATTTATTTAGCTAGTGCTTGTTTTGTTTTTTCGTTTTTCGCTTTATTTGGTGAGGGTTTGAGTGAGAAAAGAGTGTTGGATCAATTGATTGAAAGGCAAAAATTTAACCCAAAAAAAAAAAGAAAATAATTAATTGTAAACAATTAATTGTAAACAATTATCATACTAGTTTCTTAATTGAAATTGTATTTATCAGGATAATTTTTCCATTGGGTAAATGTTAAATTTTTTGTTTCACATATTGGGCATTTTGGACACATAACAATGAAAAATATTATAATAAAAAAATACCCCATAAAACAAATCAAAGCATAAAGCATAGAACATAGCCATAGAGCATATCAACTAAAGCAAAAGCCCATATCTAGGGCCACGTGAATGGTGACTATGTGAGGTGGTGGCTTCTGTTAAAAGCACTGTGGAGTTTAGTATGTCATCTTTTAGGGAAGCGTGTTCCCGAATGCCACAACATTTTAGATTTTCTAATGTGAGATGTCTTGGCTTTATTGTCCTAAAGATTAGCCCTTTGCGCTGTTTGGTGTGAATTTCCGGAGTCGTACGGAAAATTAGCAGTTTAGCGGTTCAACTCACACGATTAAAATTACAAGTCAACCCGATACGACCCCACCAATTGCCAGCCCTAGTAGTCTATGTGTTGCTATAAAACAAACCCTCAAGCTTAAACTTCTAGTTCTTGCAAAAAGTCCTAAAGAGATTTATAAACTTCTCAAGAAACTTATCATATTTGAGTAATGTTAATTCAATCACTATGCAGTCAATGTTCTTGTTAGAGCAAATTTACTACCAGCAACTCTAGTTTAATGACAAAATAATAGCATACTACAATGACAGAAAATTTAATCTGAGCAACTTTTTGTTTTATATTCATATAGGAAACTGATCAATGGCTCTCCTAGTCTTAATGGCAAAAGGGAAGTTCCTCATTCCTAGAGAAAGTGAGAGACTAAAGAAAGGGATCAGTCTGCTGCTGCTAAACATCAAAGGAACATATGCTTAGCTTCGTAGTTCATTCCTAGAGCTATTAACAAGGGAAAAGGGTGGGAGAGGGGTCTCTCCACAACTTGCCGTCTACTAAATCTAGTTTTTTCATCTTTTCCTCACACCAAAACAGCTGCTCTTTGCTTATTCTCACCATCCGAAGAACCCTCGACAAAACTTTGGCATCGATGAGGCTAAACAAAAGCTGAACATCTTCTTGAGATTGTGGCCAGGATTTCTTCTTCCAGCCTTTCCTCTTGTTCCGCAGTTCCTTTAGTTTCATCCATTTCTGCAGCACAATTACACAAGTTTTAAGACATTATATAATCATTTGAATGAGAAAGAATTGAACATGATATTAATAGAAGGATTACCGCCGCCATATACTCTTATCATTATCTTATACGTCATTCCATTCCATGACATGAATACCACACAGAACAATGCGGTGATTACAAGAATCAGTTAGTAACCAAACCACAATGGTCATGAGATACAACAAATTGGAGAAAGCTTTCTATTACTTGAGGGTAATTTAGTACTCTTCTATATTTTTATATTCATGCACAACCATATATGCACACACAGAGTTTGGAGCAAACTCTTTGACTAACAATTTAATGATCACTCATGCTTACAAAATCGAGACGGTGTGTGTTGTGTTGTGTTGTGTTGTGTGTACACCTACAAGAGGTTTGTGAAGAAACTCACACAAATAAGGATAAGGCGTGAACCTTCAACAAGTACACAATACAAGTGTTGTGCGTAATAAACCAGGACAGATGTTTCATAATTGGGATCCCTAATCAGCAGGCTATGAATTTCCGAAGCCCACTTTTCTTATAAGACTTTGCTATAACTTGTATAAAGATGTCAAGGTGGAAAAATACACCAGCAAACTTCACCTTCTCAAGAGAAGACTGAATCTGCTGAAGTGGGGTGGCAGCCTGGTTTTGATTCCCAAACAAGTTAAGAACGGAGCTTGTTTTTTTCTTATCCATCTTCACAAAAAGCTGAAAAGTGAGGATTGAGGTTTCAATAATCTTGATGAGATCAGGGGCATGAACCATATAATCTGATTCTTCTTCCTCCGTTCCTTTTTTAACTGGACCTGAATAGATTCATGAAGCCAAGTTGTTAAAATCACAAGCACAGAGACAATGAAATTAACAGCAGGTATTAATTCTAGTAAGCTGATAACAAATATATACGCATTTTATAGTACACAAAACTCGGCTTCTACTCTCAAGTGAATTTACAACCATAGTAGACATAAAATTTTTTATCTAAAATATTTTGCATTTGTGACAAGAACCTTACTTTGTATATCAGGGACCCGGAGTAATTTAGGCAGATGTCTCTGCGTGCGAGCATAAATTTCAGCCCTGTGGCCCTCCTCAAATGGTTCATTTTCAATAAACCTTTGTAATAAAACCTGGAATTGTTGAAACTGTTGAGCACTGTGGTTATAACAGTTGGGATTGTCAGGTTGGCATGTGATTAGCTGGTTCAGTTGAGTGTACTGACAGTGCAGTGCCTCCCAAGACAAGCAAATTTGAGCTACATATGATGTCTCAATATCCTGATAAGGATCATTCTGTGGCTGCTGAAGATGCTCAGTCTCATCATCAGGTTCTTCAATCTTCTTCAAAGAAAGGCAGCGAAAAGGGGAGGTAAGCTTCTTAGATGCAGATCTTGGTGATGGAGTTGTAGGGGTTTGGATACCTGCAGAACCTTTATTTGTGATGAAAATTTGAAGAATCTATAGGTATGCAGTAATCATGCAAATCAAGAAACAACAAATAAACTAATGTAAGGTTGTTAGAGTTTATATGGATATTAACAGTCCTAATCTTCAATATGGAGAGTATTATTTAGTTTGCATATTAAGAGGCCGTAACTGTGGATATGAACAGATAGCTTCAGAAACGTGAGCTTACTTTTACAAACTGAAATAGATGTAATTTAGTTCACATTTTGCTGAGAAATGATGTCTTATTCAAACAGCAAAACTGATATATTAGATTCAGAAGAGAAACTAATGTTAGCAAAATAAGAAACTGAAAAATTAATGATGCCTCGTGCGTCTGCGCTCAACTCAATCAAATTACTAGCATTATTGAGCTATCTACATTTGTCTGAAAATTCAACTCTCTACCAATTATTTCAAAGATAACTAAAAGCTCAAAACAGATGCACTTCTATTTATATCTATACTTATTCTTTTTTTGAATAGGTTGTTGGGCACAAACAACCTTTCCTTGTTTTTCTATTTTAGCTATGAAGGGGAAAACTTCATATGTATTTTATGTGGGTAGATTTGTATAAAAGATGTTCTTTCAAGCCCAAACAACCAGTCAAAAAGAAGTGGTCTTAAAAGTATGCTGTAATTTGAAAAAATATAAATTAGTACAAATCATTATGTTTACCAGTTTCATTAAGATGCTGCGCGCTCATCCGTTCAAAGAACAACATTCTCTCGCAGTACTTGTCGTATACAGCACCAAAGCCACACCACCATTGCCGGCCTTCTGCTTCTACATCCCTCCACTCGTTAGAGCTTGTCTCACCATGCTCTTCTTCTTCATCCTCTTCTGGGAATGACTCTTCTTCCGGAATCAACACCATAAAACTATTCCTTCTCAATTCTTTTAACCTCCGCTTGACCTCCTCTGTTATGAAATCATCATCATCATCCTCGGCCTCAGCTATAGAATCAGCATTAGCTGACTTACCAAAATCATCACCACTCTCCTTCCTAGGTTCCTCCAGCTGTGGCACAGGATTGTCCTCTGAAACATTTTCTG